CGTAAAATCATTAATTACTTCTTTTTTTACATTGTGTTTGCAATGCAAATAAATAACAATACTTTTAAAAATATACATTGCATTCTAAACGATGTTTCAACAATTAATTTTTAACCTTTAATAATTTTTAATCCTTTAATAATTTGCAGAATGAGAGATGAAGAGAAGAGAATAGAGGAAGAGGTTACAGAAGAAAAAGAAAAAGTTATAGAAATATCAACGCACGCTATACATGGTGAGTCGAATTTTTTCTTTCTCTCTGCTTTCAAGCTTCAATTACAATTGCTTTACGCTTAATTGAAATGCATGCCTCGATACATTATGCGGATCAAAACTCATAGAACACACTTATGTTCTATTGTTATATAAAAATTCATTTAATACGTGAATTCAATCCCAAATATATAAAATAAATTTAGAAATATTGATAATTACTTATGCCATATGTTATAATTATAAAACTATAAAAAATCATTTGTAGCACATATTATCTATAGAAAACGACAGAATCTTATCAGATTTACCTTGCTTTTAATCTCAAACGAGACTTTTCTTTATTGCTCTTCTATCCAAAACGAGGCGACGTTCAAACGTATTTCCCCCACGTCCATATTGCCTCGTAAAATCTCTTCTTTTCTCCACCTCGACGACGACAATCTCCTCCCGTTTGTCCATCACGTTGCTCTGGCCACAATTCGCGAATGCACCGGGAAGTGGTTTAAAATGCAACGTGGGCCCTAACCGGTAAAGCGACTGATCGGTATTTACGATTCAAGAGAAATCTTTCGCGGCTCTCCGTCCATCCGTCTTTGCATCCATTCCCTGCGTCCGTCAATCCGTTATAATTTCTCCGTTAATAGAATCCGAGATTTCGTAGCGATCCGTGACACGCATTCGAAAATACCTGCCCTGCCTTCTCTTTCACCACCAACCAACAACGCTTCTTCCTTCTCTCGTCATCTTTCATTCCTTTGCATCTTTATTCGGAGAAACGATTGCTTTCTATCGGTATACGTATTTTTAGGTGCTCTTGTTGTGTAAGAGTTTCTCCGGCCCTGCTATTTTTGGAACAATCGTTTTTTTTTTCTTTTCTTTTTTTTTTTTTTTTTTTTTTTTTTTTTTTTTTTTAAGCGTACTTCACGTTCACTTCGAATTTGAGTTTCCTTGTTAAAAAGAAATTTTCTTCTCGCGTGAAACAAATTCCATTTTCCCTCGAAGGGGGAAGGAGAGATATAGTATTGAAGTTAATGTAACGGGTGTTGCACAAGTCTTGCACAATTGATGTAACTGTTATTAGTGAAATTTTCGAAAGCTTGAGAAAGATATTTCGAATTTATTAACTCGCGTTGTACGCTAATATTATTATTAATTCGAGGATCTAGATTTAAAAAAAAAAATAGAAGGAGCAGGACTTTAATTAAATATAGCATCACATATAGAAATTTTACGTATAAATTTTCTCACTTACTTTTTTTATTATCATACATTTTCTTTTGAGAAGTCATCCTTTGTTTTTTGTTCCTTCGTATATATTTCTCCTCTTTATTCATATTCCATACAATTTTCTTCCTTTCCTACTATTTCCATTCTACATTCCTTTATATCTATTTATATCTTTCTTTGCATCTCCAATATATTTGAATATATATTCCGTTTCTCACGGTTTACACTTACTCGTCTCGTCCTTATCTTGCATTGCGATTTATCGTTTCAAATTTCGTTCCTCCACTGCTACCAGGAACGTCTCCCTTCATCTCTTCGATTTCTCCGTACACCATCGTCTCCTCTCCCGTCGGTTCTCCATTTTCTCCCCTTTCTGCCGATAAATCTGCCCTCCCTCCCCCTCCCTACTTAGCCTTTCCCGTGCCTCTCTGTATACACGGCTCGCTTTTCTCGCCCCTCTCCTCCCTCTCCTCCCTCGCTCCATCTCGCTCTTTGATTCTCCGCCCTCTCGATAATTCCGTTTCAATGCCCCCCTCGTCGGACAATTATCTCCTCTCTTCCCTTCCTTCTTCTTCTTCTTCTTCTTCTTCTTCTTCTTTTTTTTTTTTTTTACTGTCTACCAAAGAGACATCTCTCGCATCTTTTATTCCTCCACGGGTTCCTCCATGTACCCTCTTCCTGTACCTCTTCTACCGTACGCCTTTTTCTACCATTTTTTTTTCTTTTTCTTTTTTTTTTTTTTCCTCTTCTCGATCGCCTCGACAACTTCCTGGAGTTGTTTCTTCCTTCGCTGCAATGGGGGAAAGAGTTAAGGATTATTATATCTCGATTGTATTTCTTTATTTCGTTATATATAGCGTTCAGTGTTAATCTTTATCTTTGGAGGCGATAAGACGACACGTGTAAGAGTTACTAAACAAACGATAAGAATCGATTCGAATTCGAATGCACTTGTTCGCTTAGATAGATTCCTCGTTTAATCCTTGAGTCGGGTCGATTCGTTACGATCTTAATTTTCTTGCGATTAAATATTGTTGCAGTTTATAGATTCGTGATTTATAAGATTCGAGTAAGAGGAAGGTTAGGAATATTTTGATTTAAATTATTATAATACGCGTGAATTATTTGAATTATTGAATTGAATTCCTTGCTTGTTTCGATCCTCTTCTCTTATTCGGGTTAAAAAATGAAATTGCGCGTGTTGTGCGTATCAGAATTCGATGAAACGATGTTAAAATATATCTTGGGACAAGATAAGGAAATATCTTGTGAGAATTTTGTACTAGAGGGGGGAAAAAGTGATGGTTTGTTTGTTTTAATAAAATGCATATACATTATATTGAAATTTATGATAAATTAAAAATATTTGCACGTCTGTTTTTTCTTTTATTTTTATTTTAGACTTGTTGTTGTTGCTTTTGCAAATATGATTTATAAATCATATTTTTAATGAATTGACGTCATGATATCACTAATAACATTAAGATATCAGTTATCAATGATCGATATCTTGATCAAACATTAATAATGTCATTTTTACAGTAATTATTATTTGCTATTTTTTTCTTCTTAAATAAACAAACAGTTTTTCTTTTCTCTGAGAAAAAATACGATTATAAAATTGATTAATAATCGTGTGAAATTTCAAAGCCCAATTCTTATTCATCTTTATATTCCTTTTTACCGTTGATTTGGTCCTTGAAGGTTTGAACATGTCGAGGGAAGTCATTTCAATTTGGGATGTTTAATTACTTAAGGAATATCTGTAATGAAATAGTAAATGTAATATGAATCATTTAAATAATCAAGATTTAATATAATAATTTTCGAGAATTTTACGAGGAAGGAATTATACAATAAAAATCTTTATATGAGCAGATATATTCATAAAATTCATAAAATTTGTTCATAAAATTTTGATATTTGATTAAGATTTTTGATTATAATTGAAAGTATATATTATACTGTTTTGTTCATTTCCTTACAAAGTGTTCGAATCTATCTCATCTCTCAAGTGCATACTCGAAAGTTTTCGATATAAATCCATTGATCACTTTATATACATCATTTTATATAACAAATTAATTACTGTAATTGATGCAACGAATTAATCATATCACTGAAAAAGAGTTAAACTCTCATTCTTAAATACTCATTCATTACATTCATCGATTGAGATTTGACTGTAAATTTATATAATTATCCATTATTAATCAATCATTAAAATTAATTAATTCTTATTTTTCATCATTTTATAATTTCTGTAAAAAAATGTAATCTTCGATTCAATAAATGAATCGAAAACATCGATCGAAAATTATTATTTCTTGAAAAGGATTGAAATCTCGTTCCTAAACCCATGTTATTTATTTATAAATCGAGAATTATATCGAAAATTCATCGTTATTTGTAATTTCTGAGACTTGATCTTGCAACAAACGAAAGAAAGTTGAAAAGGGTTGAAATCTTGTTCCTAGATCCTCCGTTAATTTACATTAACCTGCATTAGGTTTATAAATTGAAAATTCGAATTCAAAAATTCATCATTATTTATAAGGGTTAATCGAGGGTTAATGGATTGAAATCTCATTCGTAAATCGAAAATTCGAAAACCCATCGTCTATTATTACTTCCAAGACTTAATCGCGCAACAAACGAAAGAAAGGGTTGAAATCTCGTTCCTAAACCTGCATTACGTTTATAAATTGAGAATTCGAATTCAAAAATTCATCATTATTTATAATTTCTGAGGGTTAATCGAGGTTAAATCTCATTCGTAAATCGAAGATTCGAAAACCCATCGTCTATTATTACTTTTATAAATTATTGAGAATTTGACCAAAAATTCATCATTATTTATACTTTTTGAGAGTTAATTGCGCAGACAATATCATTAGAAAGAGTTGAAATCTCATTCCTAAATCGAAGATTTGAAAACCCATCGTCTATTATTATTTCCAAGACTTAATCTCGCAACAAACGAAAGAAAGGGTTGAAATCTCATTCCTAGACCTACATTACGTTTATAAATTATTGAGAATTTGACCAAAAATTCATCATTATTTATAATTTCTGAGGGTTAATCGAGGGTTAAATCTCATTCGTAAATCGAAGATTCGAAAATCCATCGTCTATTATTACTTCCAGGACTTAATCTCGCAACAAACGAAAGAAAGGGTTGAAATCTCCTAGATCCTTCCTAGACCCTCCGTTACAATCATAAATCGTACCAAAAACTTATCATTATTTGCAACTTATTTTTGACACTTGATCGCGCGACAAACAAAACAACAGATATCACGTTGACAGATCGATCGAAACGTTTCGAAGGAAGGAGTGCTTCCCCGTCGAAGGACACCGCGATGAGTCGTCCCGGTCGTAAAAAAAATTTCCAGAAGGTGTCCGCGAGCCGGATCGCCTCCTCCGGCCAACATCCTCCCGCGGTCTGTCGTCGTGTGCGGCACGAAGATCCGCTCATTGTTTCTCTAATGCATATTGACTATTAACAGCGAATCCGCTTTTCCTTATACGCGAGGATATAACTACGTCACGTCCTTATTCGCCGGGCATCGTCTCGATCGGCCACACTCATCTTCCAACTCGCGGCCATATTCGGTGTACCCACCCACGGCAACAATGCCAGCCGCATTCATAAACCTTATTCCATACCCGTTCGCCGATCAATCGAATTAAAACAATCTGTGTATAATACGTTTATTGCGCGTAACACCGTCCTTGGTTCCAGTTGCGCGATAATCGTGGGACAATTAAGGTTAGGATCGCGTAAACTTC